AGGTCCAGACATACACAGACGAAGAGGAGGGGATCAGACGAAGAAGAGGAAGGGGGAGATGGGAAAGTCGTCAACACCAAGTCTCGTTACAAGTCCCAAGTAATCCCTCTTCAAAATGTCTGAAGTCCAACGTTGAGTCTGGATCCAAATGTCACCAGGCTCTCTCTCTCTCTCTCTCGGAGTCTGCTGATGCAGTGAAGTCAGATAGCGAGAGGGTGAGAAAGAGATGGTGGACTAAGAAGAGGAGGAAGAAGAACTCTCTCTCTCATGTGCCAGGTACTAACCTGTGAAGATGGCGCTGTGCTGCAGGTACCTCAAAGACGAAGCTGGAGCAATGGCGCTGCAGGTAAGTCTCCCTGGCCTCCGCCCAATCTCACTCTCTAGTACAACTCTAGCTCCTATGGCGCCCAGCGCTGAAGACTACTGCTAACGCTACTAGCGCCCAACGCTGAAGACTACTGCTAACGCTGCCATTGCTACTGCAGTGCTCCTCCAGAGTGCTGCTGCCGAATCCTGAAGACTACCTCCTGCCTCCTGAACTGCACGTGAAGTGCCTGGGAAGTACCTAGGAATTACCTGCCTGCCTGCAGGACGGGCCAGTCCTATATAGTGCTGGCCCGTTCAGGAGGCTGCTTTTGCCAATGCCGAAACGTGCCAGAACCTGGCGTTGAAGCTCAACCAGGGGTTGTCTTAAAAACAGGCCCGAAATGGCCTGTGCTAAAACCCTGGTTTGTTGCCTGAGTTTAAGGGCGGGTCGAACTGATGAGGGCCCGGAAATGGCCCTCAGTTTCAGGCTGAGAACGCTCAGCGCCGGAAAGGCCCTGATTTAGCCTGAAACGACACAGGGCCTGTAGGCCCTTGTTTTCAGGCTTTCAGGCTGAAACGACACAGGGCCTGTAGGCCCTTGTTTTCAAGCTTTTGGCCTGAAAACGTCACGGGCCTGGAAATGGCCCATGCAGCCTGTTGCAGGCGCAGCATGTAACACGTGGGTGTTGAAGACGAGGGAGAGAGAGAGAGCATGATGAGGATGAGGATGTGAGGGCACGTACCTGGTCTTGGCGATGCATGATTGACATCTTCATGTAGTTCGGTTGCTGCTGCTGACATCAACAGGTTGCATTGTCAATTCGTAGGCTGGCTAGTTGGCTGTGTGATTGTAGGCTGGGCGCTGAGGTTAAGTAGGAGGAAGGGCTCTGGAGACATACGTCGGTGGAGAGAGTATGCTCTCATTGACATTTGGATTTGGTGTTTTGGTTCTCCATTGGTGGAATATCAGTGTATATCTGCTTTCTGGACAGGGTTCAACTTTCTGGCTTTCAATGCGATTTTGCATTCTGGAATTCTGTCATTTCGCTATCGCTCATTTTCCTGGCAGTTGTGTCACGATGGACCACGGATCAGATATTAACCTGCTCAGAACAGATACTACACGATCTTAGCCGAAAGGCCGAGAAAGGTATAGTTAGAGAATTGCTTGTAATCTTAGGAGTTTTTGGCTTTTAGCTGGCAAGCACTGGCGGTACAAATGCCAGCTGGTCGAGATCTACATACCTCAGTGCCAATAGCAGCCAAGCACAGGAATGCATGCAAGCAGGGAGAAAGTGTTTATGATAAATGCATCTGAGTGCTAGCAGCAGCAAAGGGTGTAGAATCTGTAGATACTTTGCAAAAATCAACGGATAGATAAAATATTAAGTTAGCTAGTTGCCTACTTCCAGGACTGTTAAGTCCTATCGAATGCTACGGAAATTGACAATTTTCATGGGCAGTGAAACCAATGTCCACCTAAGCATTGTGGTGGGGAGACAAAACTGTACGTAGGTGTAGGTAGCGCCCCCCGTCAACTGTGGCCTACTCAGCTAAAGTTGCAAGAGAGAACACAATTTTACCTCCAGCTAGTTTTAGCAAGTTGGTGACATTTGCCCTTCTTCATCTCTGCCCATCAGAAGACTGATATAATCCCTTAGCTCTTCACCAATGGAATGTGCCTCTCAAAATGCTGATTCCGGAGCATGTTCTGACAAGCGCACTGCTTCGATGGAATTACGGACGGGATTGACACTTAAAAACGGCATCAGACTTGTTGCCCTATATCTAGGCTAGCTGGCTGGACACCTGGGCTGCTCTGGCTGCCAGGGTGGTCTGGCCAAACCAAACTCGGGGCAAGGTCCCGGGCAGACACAACAAAATTAGAGGCAGTACGAACAACTCTTGGCTGAGGGTAACTTCGGAGGAAAAATAAAATAGAAAAATTCAAGGTTTACATACCTCTCTACCCTCTGTTGAACTCCTTTCAACCCCACTTATGCCCCTCAAGGCTTGAACGCCTGACCGTGACTAAATTCAAAGATCAGGCTAGATTATGACTGCTTGGGCCAAGTGTTGGCCTGAGGTCGGACTTTGTTATGTTTTGGCTATTAATTTTCTCTTCGCTTTTTCGACTTCCCAGCTTGCCTGGGCAGATGGGGTCTGGTCTGCCTAGGTCCTGCTGCCTGGTCAAGCATGTACGGCTGGGCGATCCCAACCTGTTGTTTACATTGCTAGAAGTAGAGCAGTGGGCTTTCCCCCCAAAATCTACGACACAGCACTGTGCTATCTTGACTGCACTCTAGGGTCTCACCGCAATTGAAGACGAGCATTGATTAGGACGACCATTTCTCAGTGCAGATTGTCTCCAGGTTTGTATTAGCAATAGTTTCGTTGTTGCTTGCATTTCGTTGTTTAAAGCTCCTCCGTAGGCTCTTTGTTACCGCTGTTGTCATGGTGTTTTCGGGAGCCGTATGTTTCTGAGCATGTGACATTTTTCTTCATTTATGCCAGGCTGTGAGTCTTCCAATGGATGTCAATATATTGTTCATCCTCCCCTTGCCCCCGTTGAAGGGTGGTGGGTTAATCACATGACAGATTGTCAGTGTTTACCTGTCTTAGATGTAAGAAGAAAACTTTTTGTGTTAGTAAGAGTAAATATATCCGATGACATCAGATTAGCCAGTCAGGTGCCATTGTATTTATTGGGACCGTGCTTCTTTCAAATTCTGGTGCTTTGTTTGCATGGGAATGCTCGCTCAGGTCGATTGGGAAACATACTGTGCACTCAAAGCAGGAAGGCGTTTCTGGAGACGTTGGGTCGTCTAATGTGGACCAAGCGGAGGAGGGCGAAACTGTCACTCGATCAGTTGGATCATCAGATGACAGCCAGATGTGCATGCGTCCTCAAGTCCGACTTTTGCAATCAATGGACATGAGGGATGGAGATATCAAGTGGTTGATTAGCCGACATCCATGCATTCTACAGATGTCGGAAAAGGAGATAGTGTCAAGGATGATGTTTCTGAAGGTTACACTGGGTTTAAATCGGAAAGATGTGAATCTTGTCCTTCGGCGTGGCCCTGCAATGATTACTGAATCTCTCGAGGAGTTGGAGTCACGGGTTGTGAACATGGAACAGCTAGGAGTGGAGAAGTCAGATTTATGTAGAGTGGTTGTGGCTTGTCCTTCAATCATTGGTGAATTGAGTTGCTCGCATGTTCAACAGCGGGTAGAACTGTTACAGACCCTCGGGATCAAGAAGGGCACACAGCTTTTGCGGATAATAACATCTGCACCAAGGGGATTCTGCCAGCCGTTGGACAGCGGATTGTATGTGCTTGTCCGACTTCTTCAGAAGGCGGGTCTGCAAGACACTGAGATTGGCAACGTCCTTCTGAAGTGCCCTAGTCTCTTGTCCTATAGAGTTAAGGAGACCCTGCTCCCGAAGTTGAGATTCTTGAACTCGATTGGCATCCGACCAGGTCCTCAGGGCTTAGGGAGACTTCTTCGACGATTTCCGTCAGCTCTGACCTGCAGCCTGGAAGAGAAGATGCGTCCTCTTGCACGGTTTCTTCTGGAGGCAGTGGGTCTGAGAGAAGATGAATTAGGAGTTGTCCTTTCAGCCCGTCCAGAGCTGTTCCGTGCCAACCTCAACGGTAGTCTTTTACGAACAGTACGATTCCTTAGGAAGCAGGGGTTTAAAAAGATGCAAGTTGCACAGATGGTGCGGTGGTTCCCTGCACTCCTGCTGTATCAACCAGTGATGCTGAAATCCAAGCTGGAGTACTTGAGAAACGAAATGGAAGGATCGCAGGCTGACTTGGTTGCTTTTCCTAGGTTCTTTAGCTATAGTTTGGAAGAACGGATCGTGCCTCGACATTTGGAGCTCCGACGAATAGGATTGTTTCCCCCACGGTCTCTGAAATGGATGCTTGCGTGCTCAGATGACATGTTCATGTCCAGAGTTCATGCTGCAGAGGAGGAAAGGGTGCTTTGTGGATATGGATATGATAAAGACAGAGCTGTGGAGAGCTACCTCAGCGCTGAAGAAGTTTTGTGTTTAGCCAATGGCCGTGGCCAACCTCCGGGTGAGGATGTTTAACACTTGACCTGAGCATGATGAGTGTGGGGCAGCATGGAAGCAAGTACGATCAGTAATGGAAGAAAGTAGGATCAGTAAAACAAGCCTTCTGATGACATGCCATTTACCTCTGCCGCTGTAATCTACCATATATCCTTCTCAATACGAAATGTGGTATGTTGAAGACCTTGTGTACACTATTGTGAACTATCCACATGTGTAAAAACACAATCTGTGCTGTGGCACAATTGTGATTTGGTTATTCAATTTCAGATTTGGGATGCTTCATCCAGCAAAAGAAAGTGTGATGGTATATAAACACGAGGGCTTGTCATATCTTATGCAGGCATTCATTGAGTGTAGTCGTTGTGTGAGCATAGCCGAGGTCACTGGCACAAAGTCAGCATTGGAGGGAAAAGGTTATGTACTTTCCTTCTTGTGTAGGGTATGTGCTTAGCTGCTGCCAGTCATGGGTACATACTACATAGATATGTGGAATGCCATTTTTGTTGCTTGTACATATTGTACAGGCAATGCCAGAGTCGTTGTTTTCCTGTAGTATGTACGAGACTGTCCCCCCCTGGGACTCTGTGTCTAATAATAGGTGACTGCAAATGTGAGGCCTGGAGGGCTCTAGGTTTCCACGTCTAGCTGTATGTGAAGGCTGCTTGAGGGGTTCCGATAAAATATGACATCCAGAAATGCACAGAGCACAGCATGGAAATGGTAATTAGCCTAGCATATTGCTTTCGTCAACCTTGGGTATATCCACACATTTTGAGTTCTGGCGGAGGGTTGTCTGATGGGGAGATTGTTCATTCAGCCATGGCAGGGTATTGTAGGGAGGTATAGCACGGATCTTCTGGGTTTTGTTGCAAGTCCTCTAAGCAGTCACGAGCTCTGTGCTGTGACTCTGTGTCCGAATGAGTAAAATAGGGAACTAAGTTTGACAAAAGCAAAATATAAGAAAAAGTGCATTTGCACATGCATCCTGCAATAGGAGTTGGTGGCGTGCAAACGGTCCTGAAAGGAAGGGAAGTGCTGAAAGCAGGTAGCGGCATGTGGGTGGCCGCTGGAGAAGGGTTGAAGTGGGTGTTGTGGCTCCAGCGAAAGTCTTTTTTGCTGCCTGAGCGTGGATGCACACACACCTACATACGTGGATGAGCAATCGCACACATGACCGCATGCACAGATACACACATTATTTATTTCGGCGTGTTAACTGTTGGATGCAGGGCTTGGAATCATGCATAGGGAATTCATCAGTTCAGGGATTAGTTTAGGACCCTGCTTAGACTTTGTTTTCCCCGGCTATGAGAACCTGGGGTGACTGTGCTCAAAGCATCATAACTGGGACTATACTCAAATGCGTGTGGGAAAGTCTCATTGCGGGACTATGCTCAAATACATGTGAGAAAGTGCCATTGAAACGGTTTTCACCTTTTAGCAGTAGCCGATGCAGTACCCAGGGCTCGATCCCTAGACCTCACCCTACCCATGTACAGTATCGGTGTAGATCCCGAGAGTTGAACCTGTGACCTGTGTATTCGTAGACAGTTGATAGGTCTGTTGTAGGTCCAGAGGCAGCAGGGGTTCGATCTGTAGGTCTATAGAATAGAAGTCTTAGCAAGTTCCAGAAGTCTAGCTGTAGTCCTTCTAGAAGGTCGGCAAGTGGGCAAGTGGTCAAGTGGCGAGGCAAGTGGTGGACTAAACTGCAGTGCAATTGCAGTACGACTACGGTAGGATAGCAGTGAGCCCACAGTCAGTCAGCAGGAAGGTCCAGTCAGTCCCAGTCAGGTCCAGCAAGTACCACGGGGGACTGTGAGCACCATGGGCCGATGACAAAGGACAGACCAACGAGTTTCCGAAATATAAATCAAGAGGCAGCGCCCAGCCTTTCATTCATTCCTGCATGAGCCATGCGGAAGCGCTGCCACGAGCGACTTGTGCAAGGAGGTCTGCAGATGAGCCCGGAGGACGCAGTGGGCGAGAGAGGAGGAGCTTAGTATAGCGATAGGGTAGAGGCAGCCATAGCTGCCATAGCTGTAGTTAGTGGGAAGTGTGTGTGTGTATGTGTGAGTGTTCAGAGAGATGCGTGTGGGATATCCAGGGTGATCCAGTGTATGCGAACAGTGAGTTGTTTGGGCGCTGAGTCGCCATAGCCAGTTGAGAGTGAACTCGTATCTGGATGCTATATCTCTGAGTTTTGAGTGGCCGCACGTCGCCAGTTTGCTGCGTTGCTGTTTACATGCATGAAAAGTGTGAATGGGAACGAGTCTGATTGCATCATTGTGATTTGACCGAATCTGGCCATAACCCTGTTCAAATGCATCTGGGGAATGTGTCGTGAACCAGACTCCAGAAGCTCGTACCATCATCGTCATGGATGTATGCTACGAACTCGAGTGCCGGACAAATTAGCAAGGTTTGCAACTTTGCTTTAAATGAATGTCCTCATAAGCAGGGAGTTGCAATAATGGCACCGGAAAAGACGAAGTAAAAGTACAATAGGGGGGGGGAGAAGAAGTCGAGAATGTTGTCTAATCATCTAATGTATATTTCTCCTTCCTCTGCAACCTCCGAGCTCTCTTCCTCATGAGCACCTTAAAATGTCAGCAACCTATTTTCTGCTACTGGTAATCCAACTCTTCCCTTGCATACTAAGACCAGCACAATCAATATCAACAGGGGCCATGGCAATTTCGTCTTTCTAAAACAGTGGGCTGTCTTCCTCTTCAATCAGAGTCACCAGTAGGTAAGCCTGAGGTAGGCCTCACTCTTCTCTCTTGCCACAGGCAATCACATCTCCCTTAAACCTCTCTCTCTCTCTCTCTCTCTCTCTCTCTCTCTCTCTCTCTCTCTCTCTCTCTCTCTCTCTCTCTCTCTCTCTCTCTCTC